CCGGATTGCGGAGTGGCAGAGGTTCTCTCCTTCCTACAAGAGCTGCTGGATAAGGGCAGGTCCCCTTCCACGCTCAAAGTATATGTAGCGGCCATAGCGGCTTTTTCCGAAAAGACGCCTGGTCAGTTTATAGGAAGGAACGATTTAGTCATCCGGTTCCTTAGAGGAGCTAGGAGGCTGAATCCTCCCAGACCTCCCACAGTTCCCATATGGGACCTTTCTATGGTTCTGGAAGCCATGAAAGGTCATCCATTCGAGCCTGTACAGGAGATTGGTTTAAAACACCTGTCGTTCAAGACGGTGTTTCTTCTGGCTCTCGCTTCAGTGAAGCGCATTGGGGACTTACACGCGCTTTCCGTGAGCGCTGCGTGTTTAGAGTTTGGGCCTAACGACTCGAGGGTCATACTCAAACCTAAGCATGGTTATGTTCCAAAATCCCTTAATACTCCGTTTAGGGCACAGGTCATTTCCCTGTCTGCCCTACCGGTTGCTGGGGAAAACGTGGACGAAAGTTATCTCTGCCCGGTCAGGGCATTGAGAGCATATGTGTCGCGCTCGTCTGTTTTCAGACAGACGGAGCAACTTTTTGTTTCGTTTAGCGGGCGTTCTAAGAGACTAGCCGCTTCGAAGCAGAGCCTATCCAGATGGATAGTGGACGCAATAGCTCTAGCATACACTACCAAGGGCGTGCAATGCCCGTTGGGTGTCAGAGCACATTCCACGAGAAGCATGGCTTCATCGTGGGCCTGGTCAAGTGGGATTGCCTTGCAAGATATCTGTATGGCGGCAGGCTGGGCCTCCCCGTCTACATTTATAAGGTTTTATAACCTAGAGGTTCCTGCTCTTCAAGCCAGGTTACTATCGGTCTAATTAGGCCAAAAGGGGCTAGACTGAAGTTCAGTCTTGTTATATATGGCTATTATAATAGCAGGGCCGCTTAAGCCGCCTTTTTTCGGAAGATAGTGGCTAAACCCTCTTCTTCCAGGATTCCCTGTGAGTCCCTTGGTGATTATGCACTGTATGAACCCCGGCTGGTCGCCTTGGGTCTATGGTGTCGGATCCCAGCACGCACGACGTTTTACATCGAGTTCCCCAAAGCGTAGTTTAACTACGCAGTACGAGAGTATCTCTCGTAAGAGAACGTACTCGGTTACTAACGTAACCTCGGTTCTCTCTAGAGAGAGGAACGAGTACTGCGTATCATGTCGTGCGTGCACTCTGTTGTACTTCACTGTTAAAAATCACAGAGTTAAGCCTGCGAGCGCAATTTATAGCCCCAAGCCACGCCCGTTTCGGCGGGACGTGACGCAGAAGGGCGCGAAGCGCACCCATTGGGTGTGACGTCACTCATGGTCTCGCTCGATAGGCTTAAGCAGTTGCCAGCACAGCAGCCAATCGGCGCGCGAGCTGTCTCGCCTAGGTCTGTATGCTGCGGCAACGCGTTTTACATCTATACAAAATTAAGGATAATTTTAGGCTTCAGTATTCTCGTGGAAAAGGATTTTCCCCAAAGCGTAGTTTTACTACGCAGTACTCGTTCCTCTCTCTAGAGAGAACCGAGGTTACGTTAGTGACCGAGTACGTTTATCAACTACCTCGCTGATAGGACTCAAGCTACGCAAGTTGATGGCCTAACGTCAAAATATTTATCAATCTGTAAAGGGGTCCCACAGGGCTCCATTCTGGGGCCACTTTTATTCACTATTTATATTAACTGTCTGGGGGAAAATGTCCAACATGCATTTTTCCATTTTTATGCAGATGATACGGTTATTTATTGTTGTGCAGCTACAATAAGGAAGGCGTATGAATGCTTGCAAACTGCTTTCGATATAGAAAATGTCCAACATGCATTTTTCCATTTTTATGCAGATGATACGGTTATTTATTGTTGTGCAGCTACAATAAGGAAGGCGTATGAATGCTTGCAAACTGCTTTCGATATAGTGCCAATGCTTGCAAACTGCTTTCGATATAGCGCAAGCACAGCTTTATCAATTAAAGCTTTTGCTTAATGCAGAGAAGACCAAAGTAATGGTTTTTTCAAACCTGAATATTGTTACTGATCAGGGTAAAACAATTGAGGTAGTTTCATCTTATAAATATTTAGGATTTTTAATTGATGATCACCTTTCTTTTAAGCTTCATACAGAATCTAGTAAAAAAGTTGAAATTGAAGCTTGAAATTGAAGTTTTTTCTTTAGGAACAAATCTTGTTTTACTTTTTCTGCTAGAAAAAGGCCAGTCGATGCCAGATTTCTCTCTATTATTGATTATGGTGATCTGTTGTATATGAATGCACCATCGAAGTATCTTCAGATGTTAGATGGTGTGTTTCATGGAGCTTTAAGATTTATTTCTAATTGCAGATCCCTCACTCATCACTGTACACTTTACTCTACAGTGAATTTGCCTTCTCTGTCAAATCGCCGGCTTACTCACCTTTATATATAAGGGCATTATAGGCAGGCTACCATGTTACATATCTGAATTTCTTTCTTTTGCTCAGAGCACCTATGGTTTACGGTCCCAGAAAACTATTTCATTGAATGTACCTCAAGCCCGGACAGAGTTGTTCAAAAAGGCTTTCATGTTTTTTTGCACCTTCTACTTGGAATGATCTACAGAAAACACTTAAACTACAGTGTCTAATTTTCTTAAATGATTTTAAAGGTTATGTTAACTATAGAACATGAATCCATCCACACGTGCAAATGTTTTAATTAATGGCACTTTTATTTTAATTGAAATGTACTTGAGTTGTCTTTGCCTCTTTTGTGTTTGTTTTGCGATTGTGTTTGTTTTGTGATTGTGTGATCTAATTTGTTCTGCTATCTTGGCCAGGTCTCTCTTGAAAAAGAGATTTTATATCTCAATGAGACAAACCTTACGGCCCTACTTAGTTTAGTGGCACGCATACACTGGTAGCCTACTGTAGTGTAGGCACATACGTAGAACACCACAATGGTAAGTCACTAGGGACTCATAGGGCTACACTGCGAGATGCTTCATGTGCCTTATATGCACCTCATGGCAGCCCACATGTCTAACGGCAAGGTCTGCTTGGGGTAATACTGCGTAGGCAGAACTAGTCCGCCTAGACCAAGCGTATGCGCCATTTCTCATACTCAAAACTAAAGGGCCAGGCACACACACATGTTCCTATGGGTCTTTGGAGAAGCAGCAGTTCATATGTTTTGGCGGTAGATCTGGTGGGGGTGGGGGATTTTCTGACGTACAGTACACTCGGCTTGTATTGTATTGTCAAATACCATGTCACCTGCTCTGTTGGAGGGTAATTCATGTACGCTATATTGTACAACACCAGCATGTCTTACGTGCTCACAGCAGCGTGTCGTGTATGTATTGGCAGTAGCAAGTCCCGTACTTGCTCTGCCGCAGCAGCACCAATAACCTCCTGCAGCAGCAGCGTAGCAGATCTATTCCGCCAAGACCAAACATACAACATTGTCATATCCATTACCATGCCAATCACTCCTAAAGTTGTCATGACTAAAAATGTACAAATCTAAGGTCAGTGCTGTGTTCCCTGATCCAACAGGTTTTTGGTCTCTAATATCTTTGGTTGGTCCTACATACCCCTTTTCCACCAAAAACGAACTGGTTCGGAACTGGTGCTGGTTCAAAGTTGGTTCGGAGTTGGTTCAACTTGCGAACCTTCTCAGAACCTGTTTGTTTTTCCACTGACTAGAGCGCCCAGCGAACGACGTCTTTACGTCACTGTGTACGTCGCCATACATCTTAGCTAGAAACGCTTGCAGGTACAACATTACTTTGGGATTATCTCTAACTCGTGAACCAAGAAGGCTTTAAAAACAATTGAAATATGTAAGTCTTTTAATCTTTTCCTTTGATATGTAATCTTTTCTGATTAGTTATGTACTCCTGTCTTGTGTATTTTTTTTCTTTCCATTTATTTGTTCTATATTGTGACTGTTTTCTCCTTTGCTTACATAACGTTTTCAATAAAAAAATAAACTAGAAACGCTTGCGCCAACTTCAAGCATAACAAATGGCGGACTACATCGTGTTTCTGCAAATGTTTCTCCTGGCTTTGCGATCCTATATTATGTCAGAAAATATGTTATCTAAACCCGCCCCCAGCCCCCAACGTAAGCATGACGTGGTAAAAGAACGGTTCTAGTCCAGCAAAGAGTTGGTGCCGCTTTGGAACCAGTTTTCCTGGCCGAGAACCGGTTCTTTGCCTGTCGAAACACAAAGAACTGGTTCGCGCGCAGGCACCGGCTCCGAACCGGCTCTCAAAATGCGTTGGTGGAAAAGGGGTATAATATCTTTGGTTGGTCCTACAGTGCACTCCTGTGTTTTGTTTAAACATTCTAGACCCTTCCGATTGTAGATATGAATGTAAAGGGCCCTACACACCGGGACGAATATCGGCGCGCGTTATTTTTTGTTCACACCCAAGCGATTTTCGCTGACGATGAGCCGAGTGAACATGCAAATTCATTTTTTCTGACATTAGATGGCGGTTAATGTAAAACAGAAATAGTCCTATTTTGTAGTCGCTGCCGCGTTTTTCATATAGTTCTTTATGTTCCGACACCAACAAGACCAGCAGCTCTACATTCATCTTGCCTTGCATTATCCTCGTCTTTTTCTTCCCGGAAGTGTAGACGCTACTTGGCGTATATCTTCTTCGCCGTTACGCATGTGTGCTCGGCAAGACCGTTTTGTGTTTGAGCGCCCCCAAGTTGTGTTTTACTGTAACTTCAGAACTTCATACACGTGAGCAAAAGCGATAATCTCATTCGTCGGACAGTTTTTGACGCAGCGCGTCAAACCAAAAAAACGAACCCGAGGCGTTTTTAAAAAAATTACGCTTTTACACGTGGCGTTTTTCGCGTCGGTGTGCACACTCACATTGGCGCCCTTTGTTTAGTCACGAGGCGTTAAACCTCGGCGAATATCGCGCGCGAAATTCGTCCCGGTCTGAACAGGCCTTAAATGTTACTATAATCTGAGTTTTTGTTTAAGACGATCTGTGTTTTTATTAACAATATGTGTGCAATTCAATAGACATTTTCACTGAAAGTACAAATCATTCCACATAAAATAAGCTAAGTGTGCATGTCTTATTGTAAGAAGATAAAAAAAATTGTAATTGCAGGAAAATGCAAGTTAAATGATTAATCCTTGCATACAGACTTTGTGGACTGTTTCTTCCTCTATATCCTAGGAATGGCATAGCACTCGTATGTACGGGGAATGCGGCCAAAACTGCTATTTGTAGGCGTTGTGTCGAGCTCCTCTGGTGGCACCATGGCTTTGAAGGTGAAGTGCTGAAGGAGGGAAGTGAAGAAGAGGAAGAGTTCTGTGCGAGCCAGAGCCTCAGCGAGACACACGCGCTTGCCTGTCAAGAGAGCACACAGAAGTCAGCAATTTTATTATCTGTGATCAATCTGGGATTGATTTAAAGGGTTACCACTAAGCAATCAGTGAAGTTATGTTTCTCCCAGTATGACTAAAACAGTAAGAAATGTAATTATTTAGTCTGATATGCACAATGAAGATCTGAGCTCACCCATGCCGAATGCAACAAATGCATCATTCTTCTTGAATTGGCCCTCCTCATTTAGGAAATTTTCAAGATCAAAACAATCTGGGTTTTTCCACCATTTTGGGTCAATACGCACTGAGGATAGTGGTGGAACCAAACCATTACTCCCTAAAAGAAATTGTATCTTGCAAATAGAAAAATAGATTCACTCACTTCCTTTTGTGTTGCAATGGAAGTATTGAATAAATGAATAAACATTCTGTAAAAATATCACTGTAATGGAGAGGCATTAAAGTGCAGAATACCTTAGGAATGACATAGCCATTGTATTCAGTGTCGCACATGGTCTTGTGTGGGACAGCGATGGGGGCGAGATCCATGCTGCGCTGGACCTCGTGAATTACAGCATCTGTATATGGCAGCCTCTGTCTGTCTTCAATGGAGGGCCAACGGTCCTGTCCTACAACCTCATCGATTTCTCTCTGAACACGCTCTGTACAGAACAAGTGAAAGTAAACTTGAAACACTTAATGCTTGGAGAGAGACGCATTAGTTTGACCTCACCTTGAACATCTGGGTGCTTCATCATTAGAAGTAAAGAGTGTCTGAGGGTGGATGAAGTGGTTTCTGTGCCGGCGCAGAACAAGTTCCATGCTGAAGAAACCATATTGTCAAAATGATATTCTGTGTCAGGCTTGTCTTTCTCCTGCAAAAGCGAACAGCAGAATTAATACAATAAATATAGCTGCGAGCAGCGATTACGGGCCCAAGCCGGTGGCACCGCAACCCCGGTGCCTTTAGTAACCTAAAGGCACCGGGGTGGCGGTGCCGCCGGCTTTGGCCCTTCATCGCTGCTCGCAGCTATATTTATATATATATATATGAAGAGTTCAGATGCAAAAGCCTCTAAACGCCACCTCCGTCAAAAATGAGATAATGACATTGAGTGAAAGCTATCTGAACACAGTACACGTTCAACAAATATATTTGCTTCAAATCCTCGAAATCTCAGCCTCAGCCCATTCAGAAATATCAGTTTGTCGGCAAAAGCCTCTAGACGCCACTTCCCTTTGGCAGCAAAAGCCACTACATCCCGAGAACCAATCAGAAGGCGCGAGCCGCGCGAATCAGTACAGGCTGTTTCAATAGAGCGGTGCGCTGAGGAGACGGATTTTTTGAGACGGCTGAGGAGATTGTTTTGTTTTTGGATTCAGATTTTTTACATTTTTAAGATGGAGTACGATGAAATGGAGGAGCCTGTCCTACTGACATCAAAAGGCAGAAGAGAACGTCGTTTATCTACCTCAAAACTCTTCCCGTTAATTTACAAGGCAAAAGAAAATCGGTAACTTTACAGTGAAAATAGCTTGGTCGCAAGTGTAGCATGCACTCATAACAGTTCTTGGTGCAGTGCTGTAACTTTGAAGGAATTTGATTTATTATACTTGAGATATACATTATAATATTACTTTACATTATTTAAGTCTTATAAGCTTCTTATACAAAATGCACAGATATTGATGTTTAAGAATGTTGCTCTGTTCTACTTGATTATACAAACTAAAACTATTAAACTATTTTAATCGCCAATTCTTTTTGCCAATGTGGTTGTACTGTGTGAATCGGGGGGGCTTTTGTCTTTATTCAGACAGGGCAGAAAGGTGACTGCAGAGAAATGGGGTGGGATTTGCAAATAATCGCAGATCTCATTCAGCCCCCCTGTAAAGAGGCGTGTCTACTGTTTAGTTTTGAAATGAATGTGCTCTAATCTTTTTCAGTGTTTCTAGTTACATTTTTATTGATTTTTCAGCTATTTACTATGTCTTGTCCCAAAGAGGTGGATTTAGAGGTTTTTGCGAAAAAAGCACAAGTGGATTTAGCTGTTTTTGACGCAAAAGAAAATCGAATTTGTTAAAAATCACTGAATTGACTCAAGTGACATTTTTGAAAAAAAGTTATTTTATTCAATGACTAATAACCTTATCAGTACCTTTAAAATGAAACTACTGGACGTGAACATAGGAGCCTGATAAAAAATGCTCATTTAAAGAAAATAAGTCTGACGGATTTAGAGGGTTTTGCATCTGAACTCTTCATATATATATATATATAAAAAGCCGGTGGCACCGCCACCCTGGTGCCTTTAGGGTTATTGTGCACGACGTGACACAAAATATCTGCTCGCTATCTGCCGAACGGCTCTGGTAGTTCCGCTTCAGCACTGATGATGTTGTAGAAATAGTGCGCTCTGGTTGGTCTGGATTATTCTGGATTTTTTATTTTATACAGAAATAAGTTATTTATAATTCAGATGAGAATAAAGTTAGTGTTGATTAAAATGAAGGAAAACAAATATATTGATCTGAAATATAGAACATTAATTTTAAATTTATTTAGGTTCAATTACCAAACATACAATCTTAATTTAATTTAAAGCAAACAATACATTTAAAATATATTGGTTGTATGCACTTTTTTTTATAAAAAAAAGATATATATCCAAAAAGACAAGGCCTTAAAGGGTTAAACTCTTGTCACTGTAACAGACACAATCTCTCTCTCTCTCTCTCTCTCTCTCTCTCTCTCTCTCACGCACACACACACACGTCAAGTCACTTACATTTTAGATGCAATATTGAATAAGCAGAAAAATCGGATTTTCTGCTCTGAAAATATAAATAAGCATAAAAATTGAATAAGCACTTTGAATATTCTAAACAGAATAAGCACTAGTCGCTAAGGAATAAGTACTAGTACTTAATGGAATAGATACTAGTATCTAAAAAATAAGTACTAGTAGCATGAAAATAGAGACTAGTAGGTTAAAATGATTAAATGTTAAAACGGCTTGCCATATTAGCTCAGAGAGAGACAGAGAGAAGCTCACCATATTCAAACCAAAATATCTGACTTCCTCTTGGTCTGAGCTAATTACGGTAAATTAGAAAGTTGTCCGGCTCGAAGAGTACAATATACATATCGAGTTTTGTTACTGTAGATAAAACTAACCCCCCCACTTTTGTCAAAAGCATTTAGAAAGTGACACACTTCTTGCTGCCAGTTGGTGGGGCTATAACTTTGACTCACAATAGTTACATCCATCTGATCGGCCTTCCTAAACCCATAATAGCCGACTTCCTAATTTTAAATTTATTTAGGTTCAATTACCAAACATACAATCTTAATTTAATTTAAAGCAAACAATACATTTACAATATATGGGTTGTATGCACATTTTGTAATAAAAAAAGAGATATATATCCAAAAAGACAAGGCCTTAAAGGGTTAAACTCTTGTCACTGTAACAGACACAATCTCTCTCACACACACGTCAAGTCACTTACATTTTAGATGCAATATTGACTTTTTTTTCTGTTTCAGCAGCGAAAATAGTTAAACAAAGATCACAGCAGAACCATCGAGCATCTCACAGCAACGCGTTCTCATTACTGAATGATTCAGCATTTTGAACGAATCGGTTGACTCAAAGATTCAACAACCAATCCATAATCTGTCTCATTCATGAATGACTCAGCCGTTCGAACGAATCGTTTGAACGAATGAATCAATGACTCGCTCATTAAGACGGTCGCCTGGCGGCACCTAATGACGGTTTAGTGATATTAAAAGTATCATTCTTTCCAACGATTGTTAATTAACTCATATTTGAAACATAAGCTATATATATATACACTCACCGGCCACTTTATTAGGTACCCCATGCTAGTAACGGGTTGGACCCCCTTTTGCCTTCAGAACTGCCTCAATTCTTCGTGGCATAGATTCAACAAGGTGCTGGAAGCATTCCTCAGGGAGTTTGGTCCATATTGACATGATGGCATCACACAGTTGCCGCAGATTTGTCGGCTGCACATCCATGATGCGAATCTCCCGTTCCACCACATCCCAAAGATGCTCTATTGGGTTGAGATCTGGTGACTGTGGAGGCCATTTTAGTACAGTGAACTCATTGTCATGTTCAAGAAACCAATTTGAAATGATAAGAGCTTTGTGACATGGTGGAAGTAGCCATCAGAGGATGGGTACATGGTGGCCATAAAGGGATGGACATGGTCAGAAACAATGCTCAGGTAGGCCGTGGCATTTAAACGATGCCCAATTGGCACTAAGGGGCCTAAAGTGTGCCAGGAAAACATCCCCCACACCATTACACCACCACCACCAGCCTGCACAGTGGTAACAAGGCATGATGGTTCCATGTTCTCATTCTGTTTACGCCAAATTCTGACTCTAACATCTGAATGTCTCAACAGAAATCGAGACTCATCAGACCAGGCAACATTTTTCCAGTCTTCAACTGTTCAATTTTGGTGAGCTCTTGCAAATTGTAGCCTCTTTTTCCTATTTGTAGTGGAGATGAGTGGTACCCGGTGGAGTCTTCTGCTGTTGTAGCCCATCCGCCTCAAGGTTGTGCGTGTTGTGGCTTCACAAATGCTTTGCTGCATACCTCGGTTGTAACGAGTGGTTATTTCAGTCACTGTTGCCCTTCTATCAGCTCGAACCAGTCTGGCCATTCTCCTCTGACCTCTGGCATCAACAAGGCATTTCCGCCCACAGAACTGCCGCTCACTGGATGTTTTTTCTTTTTCGGACCATTCTCTGTAAACCCTAGAGATGGTTGTGCGTGAAAATCCCAGTAGATTAGCAGTTTCTGAAATACTCAGACCAGCCCTTCTGGCACCAACAATCATGCCACGTTCAAAGTCACTCAAATCACCTTTCTTCCCCATACTGATGCTCGGTTTGAACTGCAGGAGATTGTCTTGGCCATGTCTACATGCCTAAATGCACTGAGTTGCCGCCATGTGATTGGGTGCTTAGAAATTAAGTGTTAACGAGCAGTTGGACATGTGTACCTAATAAAGTGGCCGGTGAGTGTATATATATATATATATATATATATATATACACACATATATATACACAAAAATAAAATAAAAACACATTTGAAGCGTGTTTGCTTACTAAATTGTGAGCGGAACGAAAGTTGCAGCAAATATCAGCAACAGGAGTCAAATTTCATTAATCACGAGAGTGAAGAGCTGACTGAAAAGATGATGACGGAATAGGCTATTTTATGTAAAAGGCCCCTATTTAAGCGAATCTATCATTGTACTCTTTTGTTGTTGTGTTTTCCGTGAAAAATAATAGACTATTGAACTCACAATTCAAGCAATCGGCCTCCAATATTGCACTAATTTTAAAGTGACACTAAAAAGTATGCGGCTGCACTGGCATTCATAATGGTGCGCGTCCATGGCGACGAGCGAGCAGAACAGAGCGAACGTTTTTTAGTTCATTCCTACTTCCATAGGAATTCCCTCAAGCGCTCTGCAAGCGCAACCCTTATCAATGTCCGTGTGGACGTCCGTATTTAAAAGCTCTCGGTCCTCAGTCACATGCTTGCCAAATATATGTATAAATATCATTTTGGACACAAGAGGGCAGTATGGCCCTATGTATAATTTTGTGTTTAAACTAACTATCACTCGAAGAGCCCCTCCCCCCCTCCCCACACAGACACACACACACACACACACACACACACACACACACAGTTCGCCCGCGCCTCTCTCTCACACGCACACACACACACACACTCCAGCATTGCAATCTTGAGATCGCAGCTTGTTCATTATGCTGCGTTCACA